CTCCTGCTACAGTTCTACCCGTCTGGGGATGACAGCAGGCCAGAGCTGCCTTGTTTCAGGCCAGGAGTGGATCTTGTCCCTAGGGGTTCAGTGTCATCCCAGCATGAGGTGCCGGGCGCTGAGTCCTGCCGGGGACCCGGCGCTGTGGGAATGGCTACACGGGGCAGCAGTGACATGCTTAGAGAGAGCACTCACAGCAAAGGTGACACAGATCAGGCATGTCACCAGAAGGGAAAGCATCTGTCTGGGCTGTGGCACACTGCTCAGGCTGCCCTGCCTGCCCCTGGGTGACCAGGTACACAGCCCCTGGGGGGCACACCAGCACACCCCTGACAGCTCCGTGGGCTGCCTACTGCAGATGCCGGGCAGCCTCCGGACCGTGGCTGCCAGCAAAGCCAGCCCAGGCCACCTGGGACCTGCCAGGGGCAGCCACTCCTCCTTCAGGTGCTTTCCACAGACAGCACCAGGGCCTCAGGCCAGGCTTTTATGTCGAAGCACACTGGGGCTTGATCAACGATCAAGGGATGAAGAAGAATTTCCTGTCCACTTTAAAAAAACTAAACCCCCCCAAAAATCCAGAAAGTACAGACACTTAACTACCAAAGCAATATTATATGGAAGATTCATGTCTTTATAAAATCCATTTACAGCTTTTTGGACAAAACACCCTTGAAGCACAGTTAAAAGGCTGTATAATGCTCCAGAGTATTAGCTTTGCTTTTGGACCACCAGTCTAGCTGATGTGGAAAAGACAAGCTGTATAAGACTTCACACATCCAGACACATTGTTCTATTTAAGTCAGCATTGACTTGCACTAAAAAAAAAAGTTGGCTTCAAATCAGCTGATTCAGACTGTATCTTATGAATTAAGGACTATTATTTTTAACAGAAGTCCACCCCCTGTTTGTTGAGTCAACTTTTTCTGGGATCATGACGGAGAAGACAATGAAAAAAAAGATTTGCCAACAGCAAAAAAATAAAAGGAAAAGCAAAGCAGGACACAAGATCTACAGGAAGTGTACATATGAGCAGATCCTCAAGTTAAAGAGTGTTGACTGCTCCTTAGAAGCTTAAGCAAAGGCCTCAGGTTCTACAGTTCAGACATAACTATACCTTCTTGGGGTTCAGGGTTGTTTTTGGTTTTTTTTTTTTAAAGTCACTTCACACTGTAACATTTAGACTTGAATGAAACTGCTACAGAAACCCAGCCATAGCCATACAAGACTCCAGGTTTAGTTTCCTATTACTGCAAGCCACCCAGAACACACAGAGGCTGCTTCAAAAAGGTCTCTGAATGTTATAAGTAAGTGTATGACTTAGGCCTGAAGGAAGAGCAGATGGAGAATTTAGGATCCTCCCATGTTTTAATTCATGGTGATGTCACAATTTAGAGCTCTTGGATACTTCATCAATTCAGTACTTAGACCACAGCAATAACAGCCATTAAACCTAGTGCACATCTCTGCTTAAGCATCAGTTTAACTTTTATGAAGGGGAATGCACAGAGCTCTTGGTTGTAACAAGTCAGATGAGTTTTCTCAGAACCTTTCCAACTGCCTTAAAATATACCTCCAGAGTTTAGGAGAGTTTCTAAACACTGTCTCATGTGCACTGAAGTTTAAGCACTGCAAGCTTCACAATACCTTGGAAAAATACTGCTCTGCCATTAAGTGTTGCACAGCACATTTTTGAAGAGGCTCCTTTAGGGTTATGAAACAGCATTTCACTTCCATGTTAGAAAAAATAAAAAATAAATCAGATTTGGGAGGACCTTCTAAGTTTTGAAAAAGTATTTTACAAAATTTTATTATTAAAAAGACCAGCCAAAGAAGGCTTAAGCTGAAGTATATTTCACATTGCTTAATCCTTTGATCATTATGCAAGTGTATTTCATAACCTTATTTGAAGGACCAAAGAACAGTTTTAGTACTAACAATGGGCTCAGTCTGACAGCTAATGCTAACCCGAGTGTGCATCATGCCCTCCTTGATCATTCCAATTTACATAACCCCACACTACCCTGGGCTTAAAAATAAACCCCACAGGAAAACAAGGTTTAGATGGACAAAGAAGAGTAGCATCAGACAGCCTGTTCTCCTTGATTAACACCATGTTAAAGATTTTCTTGTATCTACTGGCAGCCCCCAGACAAATCTATAAGGCTAGACATGCAGGATTCCTGAAAAAGTGGCTTTGGCTTAATTTCTTCAAAAAAGTCTTTTTTCTTTCCTCCTAGCCTTCAAAAAGAACAATCTGCCTCCAAGTCAATTCAAACAACATTTCCAGCGGGGGTTTTAAGGACTTCCCCCAGAAATGGGCACGTTTGCTATTGTAACCACCATTTAAAAAGCACCTTAAAGCTACTAAGGTGTTATCAGAAGACTATGGGAGAACAGCCGAGGGGCCATTCAATTAACAGTAACAGCCTTTAAACAAATTCAGAGGTTATGTTTGCAACGGATTTCATATTCAGAGCCACAGAAAAGGGGCAAGACTTAGAAGGAGAATATAGCTGATTTAAAGCCATGTTGAAAATTTTAATATTCACCACTCCTGCTAAACAGAACAGTCATTTAAAAACCAGACCCTCCCAAACCGGTGAGCTTGCAAGTGAAAGGGAGCAAGCACAAAACTCAGGGAGGCAGGGTTTAAGCCACAGAAGGTAACATCCCCAAATTAAGTGACAGAAAGGGCAGCAGAAAGGACTTTATAGTTACCCAGAAGTGTGCGTGACAGTTGACCATCATGGTCCTCTCAATCAGCTCATCAGGACACTCCAGAAGATGGTGCCCGGAGACCACGCCGGCATTGTTAACCAGGACAGACACCTCGCCGACCTCCTTGTGGACCCTCTCAGCTGTCGAGTAGACGTTTTCTCTTTTGCCCACATCACAGGTGTACGTGTAAACCTGCAAGTTGCAATAGGGCAGCGCATCTTTTTCTCCATCTCCAGCTACAGACAAGACAAGGGGGGGAGGACGGGAATAAAGTTCTTACTCGCATCTCGACACTCAAACAAGTAGTCAAGCAGAGCCGCGAACGCGTTACAGCAAAGCCTGCGGCCGCGTTAGCGTCACCACAGGACACGGGGGCTCGTCCGCCTCCTGTTGCCACCGAAACGGCTCCGGAGG